ATTATTCTTCACCTTTCTTTTCCACTTAATATTTCTTAGAGACTCTTTCATATTAATACATCTAGATCTGTCTCACTTTTTGAAATGGTGTCCATTTCAGCATATAGATAGGCTTCAATTCATTTCACCAATCCTCTGCTGATTAACATTGTGTACCTATATCATTTCACACATGCAGAAATATGTCTGTAGGATAGATTCCCGGAAATGGAATAATTAGGTCCAAGGAAATACACATTTCTGTGTTATTTTGGTGGATATCAACCACTTTCCCTCTACAGAAGTTGTACTAATTTTACACCCTCATCTGTAATGCATATTGCACCACCTAATTTAAATTTATATAATTAAATTTTTTTTGCTATTTTGTTAGATTTTTAAAAAATGATTATCGAGTACTGCTAACCAGAAGGCTGGTGGTTCAAACCCACCAGCCACACCTCAGAAGGAAGGTTGGGTAATCTACTTCCATAGTGATAACTCACGGAAACCCAAGGAGGAGTCACAATGAGTTGGGTCTGACTTGACAGCACATAACAACAACAACAACAGTAGTTCAATATGCACTTATTATTATCAGTGAGGTTGGATATCTGTCCATGTTTAAGAGTCACCTTATTTCCATTTCTGAATGCTGTCCATTTTTTATTGGGTTGTTGGTATTGTTCGACTTGGAGATTTTTCTATATAAAGAAAATTCCCACTGACATCCAGTGTCCTGCATAGTACCTGGCATAGAAGTAACAACTTATATTCATTTAGGTGAAAAAACAGACTAGCAGACCACCAAGAAAAGTAGAAAGGATGTGGGTGGTAAAGCAAATTCCAGAGATAGAACACCTATTTAAGAGTGCAGGAAAATTCATCAGGTTTTATTAGAAAAATTAAACATGGCAAAATACAAACTATCAATAGAATAAAACATCTTCAATAATGGTATTTGAGCAAGGAATTAACAAAAATCCTACGAAGGATACCAGAGATGCTAAAAGAACTGAAGTCCTTATACATTTAAATAATCTCTCATTTACTGAGAAACCAAACCCACTGCCATCAAATTGATTTCTACTCATAGTGACCCCCTTGGTTTTCCAAGGTGGTAAATCTTTTGGAAGTAGATTGCTTGGTCTTCCTTCCACAGAGTGGCTGGTGGGTTTGAACTGTCAGCCTTCTGGTTAGCAGTCAACTATCTTAGGCACTGTGCCACCTGAGCTTCAATCTCTCATTTAAGCTCATCTAATCTTTTTGCCAGTATCTTCTATTTACTCCCTGTTCTGGTTACCTAGTGCCACTCTGACAGGAATATACCACAAACAAATAGGAGTTTATTCTCTTAGTTTGGAGGCTTTAAGTCTGAATTTGAAGTGCCAGGCTCTAGGTGAACCCTCAACCTTGGGCTTCAGCTCTGCCTTCTGCCCCCGGTCCGCTGGAGCTACAGGCTTTTCTTTACTCAGACAGCTGCTGGGTGCTGAGATTTACAAGCCCAAGGTTGACAAGTAAAAACGCACAGTCCCGATGTTATCAAACCACATGGCAGGCCATTAATTCAAGCCCATTAAAAGTCCCAAGATCGGCAGGGCAACATGGCAGTCTGCTGAACAATGACATGGCTACATGCAGGGTTCAAGCCTGCCATAAGCTAGAGACCACTCCCCAAAGCAGACCACATCCCTAAAGCAGCTACTCAGCTACTTGTGGGAGATCCCACCATGGAGTTGATTGCCAGTCTCATTATGGGGAATAACTACCACCAGCTGCTCAGCCAGTCAACCAGACCCAGCCAAGTTAACACACAACCTTAAATATCACAGTGGGAATGTAAAATGGTATAGCGTGTTTGGAAAACAATCTGGCAGTTCCTCCAAAGATTAAACACAGAGTTAACATATGACCCAGCAATTTCACTCTGAAGTATATATCCAAGGGAAAAGAAAACATGTTCACACAAAAACATATACTGGAATGTTCATAGTAACATTATTCATAAAAGCCAGAAAATATAAACAATCCAAATGCCCATCAACTGATGAATGGACCAAAGAAATGTGGTATGTCCATACAGTGGACAAACATGATCCATACAAGTAGACTGCCTTGACCAGATTTATGTGTGCATAAAAAGTAATTAAGAACTGACACATACTAAAATGTGGATGAGCTTTGAAAATATGATTTCATTTATATATTTATATAAAATGTCCCAAACAGGCAAATCTATAGAGACAGAAAATAGATTAGTAGTTGCCTAGGGCTATGGAAAGGAGTCCAGGTGGTGCAGTGGTTAAGCACTTGGCTGTTTATGTCCTTCAGAGTCCTTGAGTTGGAATCTACTTGATGGCAGTGGGTTTTGTCTTGGGCTGGGGGGATGGGTATGAGAATGGGTATTGATTACTAATGGGTAGGGGGTTTCCTTCTGGGATGATGAAATTCTCCTGACTTACGATAGTTGGGATGTCTGCACAACTGAAGAAACCAAAGCCACTGAATTATACATCTTAACTTTTCATGACCAGTGGGACATGTATGGTACACTTAAAATTTTTTGCCTCTCTTGTATCTTGGGATGTTAGTGTTCCACTTAGAGTGCATGCTAGTATCTGGTGGGAACATGTATAACTGCTTGTAACTAAAGAGATGTTTAGTGGTGCCAAATCATGGTGTTTAGTGGGTATTGACTTGGGGGGGGGTGCCTTCCAAAGGTTTGAATGTATAAAACTTTTGTCTTTTATACAATAAGATAAGCCTTGTAAGTATGTATATGATTTCCTGTTTGTCATTTGGAAGTTGTGGTTTCAGTGATGATGTAATTTTCAAGCAAATAACTTATTTTCAGGCACAATGCCGTATCTTTACACAAATCAGGCTCGTGCTCATTAGGCAGCTTACTATGGGCGGGGAAATAAAATAGAAAATCCCACTTGTGAAGAACAAAGTCGGGTGCCAAATAATGTACAGCTGTGACAGGCTGGAAAGCATTTATTTGTCAAGGGATCTAGAAGGCCATGCAGAGAATGTAGCACTAAGAAGGAGACTCAAACAATTACATGCAGCCATTGCAAGGTGGTTTTGTGTGTTACCCCATGTTTCCTGAAGTTTCACACAATAAAATAAGTTTGCTAAGGATAAATGATTTTTATCATGCCTCATCCCACCTTTCCTACCTCTAGAGTCCAAAAAAACCAAAAAACCAAACTCACTTCTGTAGAGTCAGATCCGACTCATAGCGACCCCTCCTTGGGTTTTTTTGAGGCAGTATCTCTATGGAAGTAGATTGCTCAGTCTTCCTTCCAAGGAGTGGCTGGTGGGTTTGAACCTCCAGCCTTTTGGTCTAGAGTCCAGGTGGACATTTATCTCCTACATACTATTTATCAGAATCCATCTTCACAAAATTTTAACATGAATCAATTATTCAGCATGCATTTTGTTACTGAAAAACCTTTTATCAACCAAATCTAGCAAACATAAAATAATTTGGCTATGAAAGGTTTAAATGGGAGGATTTTATTGTATATGAAATATATCTCAATAAAGATGTTAAAAGTATGATTCAGGTCAAAGAGCATTCACATATGCCTAACAATCCATAATTTAGCTAGCTATATGTAGAAAGTGGGAGCTCTGGTAGCATAGTGGTTAAAGCACTTGACTGCTAACCAGAAGGCTGGCAGTTCAAATCCACCAGCCACTCCTCGGGAGGAATATGGGGCAATCTACTTCCGTAGTGTTACTGCCTCGGAAATCCAAGGAGGGGTTGCTTCTACAACATGTAGAAAGCACCATATAAATGGTTTGGAGCATAAAATATGTGACACAGACCAGGGGCTAACAAGCTGAACATTCTCTTTACATAATTCATTCCTAAATGTACTGGGGAAGTCTCTCAGTTGAGAAAGATGATCAACTTAAAAAAGGAAATTTACAGAGGTTCAAATAAAAACAGGGCTCTTATTTTTTCCCTTTTGGCTCTACTAGCCTGGCTTTGTTCTCAGGTTCAATCCACAAGGCAACAAGAATGGTCCTTTGCAAATCCAGGCTTCCTCCTTAGGGTTTGTAATCCCAAAGAGAGTCTTTCATGATAGCTCCACAAAGAGTCTAAAGATAACTCTGGAAGGTAGGACCAGCCTCACCTCAGCTATAAAGACTGAGTGATTTATTATCAAATTTGAATACATACTGACCAGACAAAAAAGCACTGGTATTACTATTCTGCCATTCAAGACATAGTATTGAGGGGATACTTATCAGGAACTATGCAAACAGTGGCATTTTTAAGTAGACAGTTTTGTGTTAATATTCTTTTTTTGCACATAGTTCTCTCAATGTAATTCCTGGAGCAAAAAAAAAAAAAAAAAAAGGAGGAAAGGATGTTCCATGGTATGGAAGCAATCACTGTTGACTAACTAGCCCAACAATACTGTCAATCCCTTCTCCCTTCTAGCCTCAACTATAGTTGGAAAAGTTTTCTTATTTGCTTTCCCAGTTTCCCATTCAACCAGAGGTGGCCATGTAGCCCCATTCTGGTCATTGTGTATAAATGCAAGTCTTCTGAAAAAGCTTTCACTTTTCCAAAAGGGCAGATATGTCTGGTACCACTCCTTCCCTGCTTTTACTTCTCTGAATGTGATTGTGAATGTGATGTCTGGAACTGCAGCAGCCATCCTGTGTCTAGGAGATAACAAGGATGCTAAGGATAGAGTGGAAAACAGCAAGAGCCTGGGTCTTTGATGATATTTTAAACTCCTGTATCTTTTCTGGATGCCTCTCTGGAGATTTCTTGTGATGTAAGATAACTAAATATCATTATTCCTTAAGTCATTGTTAGACAGGTTTCCTATAGCTGAAAGTATTCTTAACTGGTATAAATGGTGTGAGCCCAATATTCTGGAAACAGTGAAACAAAACAATTTTAATTCTTCATCTTAATGTGTTGAAGAAATTATCAATTAATTTATAGGGATCATTTTCTAGGCCTTTTTAGTAGATAAAAACTCACAAAGATACAATTTAAAATGGTAGAATTTATTTTAATATAATGATATATATATGCACATATACTATTTTAAAAATAAGCATGTGAATTATAATCATTATAAAACATAGATCAGCACTAATTTAATTTTATCAGAGTAAAAGGGCATGTATTGAACTCAGACATTGTTGCACTTGCCTTTTAAAGTTAGAATACATAAAAAACTTAGTGCATTTATTTCAGTTTTCATGTTATCATGATTTATCATCAAGGTATAAATACCCTTAGGAATGTGCCAACTCATAACTTACATTCTAATAACCAAAATCTCTTAACAGTTATTAAAGAACAATTAAATCACCTAAAATGAGTAATCTAAAAAATACTAGCCTAAATTAAAACCCTGAGGAATTAAAATCTTTTTACTTCATAGTTTCGGTTAAGTGCAATTCCATTTATACTACTTTATTTAAGGTCATACTTGGTAAGGCATAGTAAAAATAAAATCTACATTAATAATCTAATACTATATTTAATTTCTTGTTACAAAGTTAGCTTGTTTCCCCAAAGAGTAGTTTTTGCATGTCATTCTGGACCTCTTCACCCACCTGCTGGCTTATTTGTTTTATAGACAGTAGTTAAAATTTGTGCACTAAGCTGAGCTGCCTTTATAATGGTGATTCAGACAAAATGCACCCGGAGAACCGACTACATGTTAGAGATTTCATGTCCATGCTCAACTGCAGCCTGCACAAATTGCTTGAAGACACGATCCATGTAAGTGGACTGCCTTGGCCAGATTCCTTCCAGAAAACCAATATGGCCTCCGTAAGAAGTAAGGACCAAAGCCACATTAGGGTTTTGTTTAGCAGTTTCTATTGGAATAGCTTTGAGGGGGGCACGAAAGAGGGAAGGTAGGAGAGAGAAAAAATATAATCATTACCAGGTGGTTTTTTTTTTTTAGGAAAAACGTATACTTTTATTACTTGTAATCAATTTAATCCACCATTAAACAAATATCTGTAACAAGTATGAGTAAATGGAATGTCTCACAAATTTGTATCAACTGTCTGTATTGTAATAACAATTCATGTTTACAGTCATGTACTGTAAAATGACCATAATTTTTAGAAGAATCAAACCAACTGTTCAATCACAACACAAAAGCATACACCCAGTCTTGTTTTGAGAAATTAAAGTAAGATTATTCAAGAAATGGTGAATACTTACACTATAAACTACAAGACTCCCACCTAGGTGTTACAGCCTCCATGAGAATTATAAATTCATAATATATGACTTTGGTTAACTTTATATGAAGTTAGATTCTTGAGGCCAATAATTCAGAAATATAATTCAGTTTATACAATAAAAATGTATTTTAAAAAATCAAACAAACCAAACCAAACCCACTGCTGTTAAGTCAATCATGACTCAGAGCGACCCTACAGGATAGAGTAGAACTGCCCTATAGTGTTTCCAAAGCTGTAAATCTTTATGGAAGCAGAGTGTCACATCTTTCTCCCATGAAGTGGGTGGTGGATTCAAACCGCTGACCTTTTGGTTAGCAGGCAAGTACCACCAGGACTCCTGAAACATATATAGATAGCGGAAAAAAAAAAAAATACAGTACTTGCAAATGGTAATAGTATTTGTCTTTGTCTGGTTTCTTTTCCCTCCTTCTCTGCATTTCTATTTTAGTTGGGAGAAAGAAAATTTTTATTTTGATATAGTTGCTGTATTTAATATAATTCACCAGTAATGGCAATCTTTTCACATACTCTAAGCAATCTATACTAAGTATAAAGTTTACTCTAAAGGATGCTAATTAAAGTTGCTTTATTTTTACTATTTTTATTCCATACTCAGAGTTCAGACAGTTAAAATGTTTTAAGATCTATAATGAATCACAACTTTGCATAAGAAGAGTTTTGACTTCAGGTTCTGTCAAATCTTACCTCCCTAATTAAAATAATGTGGTTGATGCACTAATTAGATCTTAACATCTTGGGCTGAATCTTAGGAGTAAATGAACTAATTAAAGATAAGTTCTCTTTACCCCACTCCCCTCTTCCAAGGGAAAAGAAGCTGACACTGTAAATCTGAGCCCTTTCTAAAACAGAGATGCTGCAGTACACAAACGGCCTGTTTAGGTGACATTCTAATTTGACCCTGCTTTGACCCCTCTAAGAACCTTTTAGAGTGCTACATTTGCCTCTAATATAATTATTAAAAACCCCAGTTTCACATTATGGATACACTCAGTAATTTCTAGCATTGATAGTTACAGTTGTATCAGAAGAACAAAAGGCTGTGCCATATTGAGTCATGTGAAAGATAAATGTAAAGACTCTAAATCAAGGTACAGTAAGCCAAGTCCTTGTCCAAGAGGAATGCTTAACACCATCCCAAGGAAGAAGATCTCAAAGTGAACGTCTATCTTGGGTTCATGTGTGGTAACTTAGGGGGAGGGCTAAACAACTCACGGGATCCCTGGGTGATGCAGTTAACACAGTCAGCCGCTAAACAACAGGTGGGAGGCTTGAGTCCACCCAGAGGCGGTTCAGAAGACTGGCAAGCTATCTCTGAAAAAATCAGCCACTGAACATCTTATTGAGCACAACTGTACTCTGACACACACTGGGTTTCAAAGTTGGAATCAATGGCAACTGGACTAGCAATCACTATTTTTGCTTTTTCACCATACATTTGGGGCTTAGATTTAGAGTGCTGCATTTGCCTCTAATATAATTATTAAGAACCCCAGTTTCACATTATGGATATACTCAGTAATTTCTAACACCGATAGTTACAGCTGTATCAGAAGAACAAAAGGCCGTGCCATATTTGAGTCATGTGAAAGAAGCTGGCTGCCTGCCTTCTCAGAGTACAGACAATTGTCCACTATTCTGATGTGGCAAGACTATCTTAAGGGAAACAACAAGAAATAATGAATTTAAACTTCAACCAAGTGGGTCAGGCTCAATGTGAGGAAATTCTGGTTGGTAGAAGAGTCAGTGAAATATAAAAGTGGATGGAGAAATATTAGACTTCCTTAATCCAATGAAAATAGGTTAAACAACTATTATTAAAGTTTAAAGTTTCATTTTCTGGTTTGTGACCAAAGCCAAAAGTTCCATCTATCTAAAATTACCTGTGGTTAGTCATGAATCACATAACAAAATGGAATTCCCTAGAGGAATGATAAGTGATTTTTTTTTTTTTTACAAAAATATACATTGAGGATTTTTTGAAATTTTCATGATACATATGTGTTGTATTTATAGTCAGAGTAATTTTTATTCTTATTTTTTTTTTATCAAAGTAGTTGAGGAAAATGTTTTAAAAATATTTAGGGAGAAAAAAGTAAAAAAAGTTTTATAAAGGGCTTTGTGAAATTTCATTAGAAAAAAATTAGAGGTCAAGTCTACTGATCCTTAAGATAGTATGATTACTTCTAATCATTTGCTATTGCTTTAATGTATGAGCACATGCATATATGTCTTTGCTACCAAAGTCCTTATTTCTTGAATGAAGAGAGCAGAAAAAACTAATTTTGGCATAATTTTCTCTAATATCCAGAGGGTAAACAAAGACTGTTTCCTTTCAAATATGACTTTACAGTCCTAATGTGTGACAATCACTGAGATATTCCAGACCATCATGTTTATAAGTCTCAAATTCTCTTCCAGGTTAAGGGTGGTGGTGGTGGTGGGGACTTCAAATCTTTCTGTCTAGGAACCTTATGATTGAAAAGGTACGTGATGACAATGTATTCTTGAGGCAAAGATACTGTAACATAATCTGTCTTATCAAATCTGTATTTGGTAAGGAAAAGTTATAAAAATGACAACAAGTGAAATATGGATAGTCATCATTTGTTCTGAGGCTCTCACAGTGGACTAGTTAAGGGCATGTGAGAACATTTAAGAAGTGATCTAAGATATTTAGATACTACGTTGAGCATCTAGTTATTTTTTTTCTCTTTATCACAGTGAAAAACATTACGTGACTGACATTTTATTTCTTAATACTGTATTTTCTTAGCAAGAACAGTATTTTAAAACAGTTAATTCATGTCAAAATATATACAAAGATGCTCATTTTACCATGACTGGGTGAGAAAACATCATCCACAGAATTCAGACACAACACAGGAATTCCTACTGACTTGAGTCTACGGTTTGGACTGGCATCAGTATAATAATCATCAATTGTTCGGTATCCAAACATGACTGCAGTGAATCGCTTATCAAACTCTCTGATGGATTTAGCCTGAAAAATCAAAACAAATTATATCTATTCTTGGAATCAAAAAAGGAAGTGAGAGTATTACATAAAGTTTCTTTCCTACCTTCATGACATGATCCATATCGATTTGTTTTACAAACATATGCCGATGCCTAGAGCAAAAGAATTGCAATAGTAAAAAATTAAGTTCATTCCCACCTCAAATCACATCTACATGCATAATAAATGCATCTCCATTTCAGTGGCCACTTGAGCAATTAATGATGACTATTCATTAGCATTTGTAGTAATATTTTACAATGAACATCTACAATTTTATAAGTAAATTAAGCTTAATTTAATGTTTAAGGTGAACTTTCAGGATAACTATGGTTTTCAGTAAGTCATGCACAAATTAACTGCCTTTTTATTTAGAGCATATATTTAAATTTATCAAATCAGTTAAAAAATACATGGCACCAGCCATAAAAACAAAAACAAACACAAATAGCTCTATGTTTTCTACTACCGTGCCAGTTTAACTGTGAGAAGATACAGAAACAATTCCAGAAAAATGGATTCAAAGACAGTACTTTGGTAATGGAAGAACTGTGGGGGTTAAGATTATCCAAGTGAACTACATTCTCCTGTATCTAAAATACACCATGCTGGTAAGCACCAGTTAAGAAGTCTTATTATCCAGCACTTAAGCCATTACTGACAACCTAGGAGAGAATTCAGTACTGATGGGATTAGCAAAGAGGTAATGGTGGTTCAGTGGTAGACCTCTCTCCTTTCAGGCAGGAGACCAGGTTTCAACTACTGGCCAATGCACTTCACGGGCAGCCGTCAGCCATCTGTCAGTGGAGGCTGGCATGCTGCTGTGATGCTGAACAGGTTTCAGCGGAGCTTCCAGACTAAAATGGCTTAGGAGGAAAGGTCTGGGGATCTACTTCTGAAAAATCAGCCAATGAAAACTGTACGGAGCACAATTCTACTCCGACATGTGAGGTTGCCATGAGCTGGGGGCCCACATGACGACAGCTGACGAGATTAGTGACAACTAACCAACTGACAAGCGACAAGGAAATAGCTTATTATGTTACTTAAAATATTCCATACTAATACTGTTAGTCTTACAGAATAATTTAGAACAGCCATCTCCAAAGTGGGGTACATGTTCCCTAGGAATTGTATGAGACAATCCAGTGAGGGTACAGAAAGAAAACATTACAATTTTGTCAGTATTTTTGGTTTATACATAGATTTTTTTAAATTATTATATATGTTTACAATATAAAGAGTATTTTGGTACAGTAGAAAATACACATCTGGAAGTATTATGCTTTAAAACTTTTCACTGTTGGGGCATATAATCCAGTAAGTTTGGAGACAATAAAGTTTTAAAGATTACTCACTTATTCACTGAAGACTGGAGGCAGGTTGTCAAATAGTAATTAAAAAGCAGCCAGTTTAGGGGCTTCTCCAATGACTCTGAGCAAGCAAAGGTATTCCAACCAACTGAAAAAGTTGCAGCTGCCATCAAAGGTGTTTTTGACCCAATTTTTCCCAGGTAATTTAAAAGCAACATTCTAAAATGAGGAGAGACAGGAAAATCAGTGATTAATTTGTCTTATCTCTCAAAACATCCCATTTTTAACTATGCACGTCACATTAACTATGGAGAAGAAAATTATAAACCAGTGGACAAGTCTTTTGTGAATGAAGCAAGTAGTTTCGTTCTTTCCTTATATTAACATAACTATTAATTCACTATACTATGAATGGAAAGGGAACTCTAGTAGTGTAGGCCCTAAGGGATTTGACTGCTAACCAGAAGGCTGGCAGTTCAAACCCACCAGCCACTCTTTGGAAGGAAGATTAGGCAATCTACTTCTATAGCGATACCACCTTGGAAACTCAAGGAGGGGTCACTATTAGTCATATCCCACTCGATGGCAGTGTTTGTTTTTTGTTTCTATGAATGGAAAAAAGGATACAATTATTACCTATATCTTTCCATGTGGTAAACTTGAGAGAAATCCACTTAACAGTGGTTTTCAAATTTGGCTGCACTCTGGGATCATCTGTGAAGTTTCAAAACTCTGCGTCTCATCCCAGAGAGTCTGGATTAATTGGTCTAAGCTGGTATCATAGGAGCCTAGTAGCAAGTTTCTAAGACTCCTTAGTCTGGAGTTAAGACTTTCTGAGTTATGGCAGAGGATATGGCTCCTAAAGTAACTTACTTTCTCTTTCTACTCCTTTCTAATCTTTATGACACCTTTCCTCTATTCCTTTTGTTCTATCAATTTTCTTCATCCTATCTTAATTCTAAGGAACTATGGTGGTACACTGATTAAGGCATTTGGCTGCTAGTCAAAAGGTTGGTGGTTCAAACCCATCAGCTGCTCTGTGGGAGAAAGATAAAGCAGCCTGCTTCCATAAAGATTTACAGCCCTGGGAACCCTATTGGTCAGTTCTAATCTGTTCAATGTGGTCACTATGAGTCAGAATCAACTTGATGATGGTTTGGTATCCTGGTTCCAAATTGGTAAGAGGGACAAATACTGGGTTTAACCTTGAAACAATGTCAGAAGTCTAACACTGCCCACTAAGAGAAAGGATATTCTAAATTGTTTTTGTTATATTTTCTGTTCTTTATATCAGCAATTGCTCAAGTCCTGAAATAGAGGTCACGTGTAAAATTTCTTAAATTTTTATTCTTTTTTCTAATACAAATGACTTGGGTTGAATGGGATAGAGCATTAGATGAAAGGCGGAAATTTAGTCTTTGAAAGGGACTCTTTATAATGACTGCATATACAATATTGTGGTTCACTAAGCCATTTAAAAGGAGCCCTGGTAGCGCAATCATTGAGTGCTCAGCTGCTAACCTAAAGGTTGGCAGTTTGAACCCACAGCCTCACTGTGGGAGAAAGATGTGGCAGCCTGCTTCCACAAAGATTACAGCCTTGGAAACTCTACGGGGCAGTTCTACCCTGGCCTCTAGGGCCATTATGAGCTGGAATCTACTCAATGGTACACAACAAACAACAAAACACTCTGGCTGGAAGTCAGGTAGAGCTGGGGGCTGCTGTAAATGAGCAAACTGGAAGGGTTGGAAGGAGAAGCGAGGGCCAGTGGTAGCCATGAACAAAATAGGTGGGGATAGTTCTTGGTTATTACTTAGGAAAGCACTGCCAACATGCTAACAACAAAAAAGCTTGTTTTACTTCTCTAGTACAAAGGATTTTTCACCAAAAGAAAAATACCAAAACGAAAAAAGAAACCTATCGATCAAGAGACTTACGAGACCTACCAACCCCAAAGTGTGGAGCTTGCCTGGCTCCTGACTCAAACAAACTGTAAGATCAAACTGACAATTACGGAAATGTGAACACTGACCAGGTATTTGATGATATTTAGGAATTGTTAATTGTGTTTAGGTGTGGGTTTATCTGATTTGTTTTTTCTTAAAGAGAGATTCTACCTTTTAGAGAGATTTATTGAAATATTATAAAAGATTTTTGAGATTTATTTAATAATCATCAGAGTGAAAGGGATGGGGAGATGAAATATTATTATCCAAGAGGGACTGGGAGATAAAATAACATTATCTATGAGTCGAAAATTACTGGAGCTGGACACTGGGCGATGAGAGCTGATAATTACTAAAGCCGGGGAATGAGCAGATGGATCATTAGACTCTTCTCTTTACTTTTATGTATATTTGGAATTTTCTCTAAGTTTTTAAACTTGTTCATGAACTCATTCAATACTGGCATTTGACTGGGTCTACAGCAGCACAGGAGCCCTGGTGGCAAATGGTTAAGTGCTCAGCTGCTAACTGAAAGGTTGACAGTTCAAATACACCCAATGGTTCCATGAGACAAAAGATCTGGCAACCTGCTCCCTAAAGATCACTGCCTAGGAAACCCTATGGGGAAGTCCTACTCTGTCATATAGGGTTGCTATGAGTCAGAACAGACTCCATGGCACAGAATAACAACAGCGTGGCATGGGTTTCTTTGCTTGACTCAGTTCTGGCTCAAAGCCTGTACTTGGCCCCAGGCATCACAGGCTTGGGGATTACTGCAGTCTCAGGGGCACTGGGCATAAGGATGCTTGACAGACTATGCTTTTTGTGTGCTCCATGTCCAAAAGAAAAAATGTGTCAAGCTGTAAAACATATCCTCAAGTGGTAAGCCCACTTGGGAACGTGTCACAATGCTAGGTGACTAGAAAGGGTGCTTCCTTCAAACAATTTATAAGACATTAATATTCAACCAGCTGCAAAGGCTAATGGTCAAGTTCTGCCTTTGGGCATTGAGGCTTCAGTGCGACATGAATAAGCATTTCCCAGGCGTTTCTGAATAGAGAATCTGGGCTTGTTTATGTAAGGTCTGTCCTTTAAAAAAAAAAAGTCAAGAATTTATATGATTAAGGAGGAAAATGTTTAGCTGGCATTCTTTCCTTTAAGGTTTACATTATGGGACAAAGGAGAGAGAACTGAAATACTGTCCATTAAGCACAATTCAGAGATCCTGCCTAGCTTTTCTGCACTGATTCAGGTTTCTTCCTTTAGTAGGTCAAGGCAGACCTTCCATGCTAATGTAAGAAATGCATTCTCTTCTTCCTAGTTTTAGGTTTATCAGAATCTAAAAAGCTATGGGTAAGGCCTATTTTTCAGAGTTTATAATTTGTAAAGTTTGTCATTTTCAAATAAATATACTACTAAGATGTTTTGAAACCTGAAATGACAGGTAAATCAATTACAAAATCAAGAAAACAAAAGTATGTTTTCTGTCTCAAATGTTTGCTGACTTTAAAAAAAGTCATTTTGGACAATGGTTTAGGAAATCTAAAGCATAATAAAATTCCAGATAAGAAAAATTTCAATCTCCTTAAGCTTACCACTGCTGGAAGAAAAAAATGATTAGTAGAAATGAGATTAAATATAAACATGAAAAATAAAAGCTCCAAATATGTCCAATTTTAACTGCAAGTACCACAATTTATGATAATGTACATAAGCTTAAAATAACAGCTAGAGTGGAGGGGTTAGCAGCAAAACCTCACACCTACCTTCCAGGGCAGGCCCATTTGCCCAACAACAACAACAACAAAAAACAAGCAAAAAAAAACACCTCGAAAAAAACATTTTTGAGTATCACTGCAGTTGGAGGGAGCAATGAATGATTATTTCTGTTACTGGAGTGATTAAAGTCATGCTCCAAGTTCACTTTCCACTTGGTCACGGAACAGAGATGGCTGGGAGTATATCACTGAATCAGAAGCTCAACATGGCAGCCACTACTAAGTGATGGAAACCAATTCATAGGCTTCTGATAAGTCTTCAAGTTGACAAAACTAAGTTTGGAGGTACTTTTCTCCTTTTCACACAGGGATTAGCAGTTAAAGAAAATATTAAAATTTACCTGAATTAATTCCTTCATTTGTTCACAACCACAAGTGGTAAAATACAATAAATATAATCAAATATGTATTTTAAAATGTCTGTGTAACTTCCAAGGAGCTCTGGTGGTATAGTGCCTAAGGCATTTGACTGTTAACCAGAAAGCTGATGGTTCAAACCCACCAGCCACTCCGCAGAAGAAGACTGGGCAATCTACTGCTGTAAAGATTTACTGCCTCGGAAACCCAAAGGGGGTTGCTATGAGTCAGAGTCAACTTGATGGCATTGAGTTTGGTTTTTTGATTTTATGTAGCTTCTAGTCCTCTGAAACAGGAATTCAATAAGGGCCACTTTACTCTCAGATATTTTAGAAAGGGAAAACTTTACCCTCCCATTGAAACCCCTGCTGCCAGAAAAGAAGCAGAAGGGTACAGGCTGTGTACGTGGTGAACAACTGTTTCCAAATCTTCAGTGTTAGCACAACAATAAGTCCTTGGCGTCTGTAAGCAGTGAGAAGTAAAGCAAAAAAAATGAAAATACAAGGTTAATGATTTATAAAATGCAGAAGTATAAAAAAGCAATAAGTCATAAATATGAGTAAATAACAGTGGTTTGCAAATACTATCAGTAATAATAATTTATCATTTTCACAACTTGCAGTACAAACAAGTGGCATTTAAAACCAACACTATTTGAGCTGGTATTAACAAAAAGATTGTGAACATGCAAGGAAGGCTTAACAGAAATGGGGCAAAACCCCATACAAATACCTTAAATGGATATAAAGTATCATACTCAAATGTGTTTCCAATTTAACAAGAATAGAATCAATTTAGGGAGAAAAAGAGAAGGAAAAAAATATATGTCTGAAAAGCCAAAGTAATACTTTATTTCTGTTGTACATGGGGTTGCTATGAGTGGGAGCCAACTTGAAGGCAACTAATAACAATTCTTTACCAAAAAACAAATAAGCAAGCAAGGAAACAAAAATGCAATCAATGACAATATATAGAAGGTTTCCAACAGTGCCACAAAAACAAAACAAAACAAACAAAAAACAAACCAACCTGTGGCTTGTTTCTGACTGGGAGCTGTTTTCTGCTACCCTGAGACTCAGCTGTCTGTCAAAGATGAAGTATGGTTTTCTGGCACTGCCTTCATTCTAGATAAAGCACTGTGTGGTCTGATTTATTTAATAAATATTTTCATTTATCATAATATATTCATAAAGCCCCAGGTGAGCTACAACACAATAAACACTTAAAATGTGAAAATATGTAAAGCTGATTATGCTCAATACAAATGCATTAACACAAATGTTCTTCATCTATCATCAATAATGGCTTTGTATATAACAAAAAAGCTTTAAAGATGCTTCACCTCACACCCAGGAGCAAGGGGGAATCCTCTCTGTAGAATATGTAAGAGAGTATGTATATGAATAAAATATATGTGCTATGAGATTAAATGATCAGAAATAAATAACAATGAAAATAACCTGGTAACATTGCTCTAATAAAAAACATTGAAACTAATCATCTGCACCACACTGATTTCAATATTCTAATAAAGCATGATGACAACAGGAAGGTTATGAGTCATCTACTCTTCAATCACTAATGAGCTGCTGGAGAAAATGATAATTTTCAACAATCCTTCCAATTAAACTCCTCCCTACCATACTGCCTATTGCCTACTGTCATCTTTTTGAGATCTGCAAATATAGAGCTCTCTAAAAGACAAATGTTATCCTGAGAGTATTTATGATAATGACTACCATTTACCTTTGTGTCCTCAAAACTGTGAGGAAGAGCCTATTATTATAATATCTATATTGTAGATGAGGAAAATGAGTTTAGAGAGTTTAAATAACTCCTGCAACATCTTACTGTGTTATTAACAAATGACTGAGCTGAGATGTGTTAAAATTACTTTGTGATTCAATGCACTGGAGGAGGTACTTTTTTGGACTGAATTTAAAGTAAAATCTAAACAGAACAATACCTACTATGATGCTAATTCTTACTGCCCATAGAATTTAGGTGAAGAAATAATTCTTACTCAGCATTTTCATTACTTGTGAGTTTATTAAATGTCATAGCTTTAACATTTCTGAGGAAGGAATGAGCTGATCACAGGACTTGGTTGACTAAACCTTACAATGTCTTAAACCCCAAAACAAAGAAATGAGAAGTTCAGAAAGAAAGATGAAAAAGACCCTAACGGAGTCAATTGCTGGTTGGTCTCTCTAGTGTGGAGAGTCAGCCCATTTGCTTTGATGCTTGCATCTCTTAAATAAACTTTCTATTCTCTTTCTAGTTTCTTTTCTATTTCTCTGGCCTGCTTTCTCTCAGCATCAGCAATCCAAGTTTACAGTGGGCAACAGGGACTCAATTCCCTTGGGGTATGCAGGGAGACTGTAGAACTTGGCTCAAAATTATCCCAACTGAGTGGTAAGGGAGCTGGGAAATTTCTCCGTAACTCCATTCAGTCATTGGTGGAAGGCCACTCCTGGAGGATGTTAGCCCTCTAGCACCTTCTGATCTTCCTGGAGCACATGTCCAGCAAGCCCCAATGGCTCGAGAAGGCCCCAGTCAGAGTTATAGGTGCTTACAGTGGGAAGCCATCAGGTAGGCAAGTATGGGACATGTGAATGCTAAGTGCCAATGGGATAAGAAGAGTAGCTGTCTTTGCTACTCACCTGGACTGCTGCAATAACCTCTCACCTAGTTAACTCCTAGTCTTTCCACACAACAATCTATAACCCTACATTCCACTAACTGCCAGATTCATCTTGAAGAACATGTCCAGCTCCAATCATAACAATCTGCTACTGAAAACCCTTCATTCATTCCCCATCACCTACTGAATTAACTATAAAGCCCTCAGCCAAGTGTTCAAGGTCCTCCACACTGCGATCCCAAGCAGCCTTCCCACCCTCTATTTTATTTTTTCTCTATATGTACTGATTCAGACAAATGGAACATTGGTGTTTTCTTGACAGCTAGGTTTCTTCATATCCTTGCCACCTGAGTAATCTTCTCTTGCCAGATTTCTTTCACTGTCAAATCTGCCTGTTGAAATTGCGCCCATTATTCAAGGCCTATTCATGGGAGGCCAGACAGCCTCAACAAATGTCAGACAGCAGGTAAGCTTTGGCCCCTGTCCTTTTCACCCAAGTTACACAGCAAAGACACCTATGGGGGCAATATGTGGAATTGGTAAGTGTTTCAAAGATTTTCTTCAAGCCTCAAGAAACTAGCAGCTTTTTACATGAAAGATGTTACAGTCAATTCTTAGTTTGCAAAGACTATTAATCCAATCAGCAACTATATTATTGCAGTAATTTCCATGCTTCCAGAACAAAGACAGGTCAAGCCATATCTAATCAGAAAATGGATGAAGGAAGACCTGCTAGGTGGCAAAAATTCCACCTAGAGTGAGATGAAGATGGGAAATGTGTTCTGGAAAAATGCAGACAATTCAAAGCACAGATAACTTTCCAGTAGATGCTTAGGCATATATATATTTTTTTAAATAAATTGAACAAAACAATTTAACAATAATTATAAAGCAAGATGGTTCAAATTATTCAACAGTAATGAATTTAAGAGAATGATGAAGCATAATTATTAATTATTCATCTGTAATTGGTAAGAGAATAATAAAGTATATATTTTATGTTTATATATGGACTACATCTAATTTAACCTTCTTAATCAGTCAAGGGCTTCTAAAAAGTAGACAAATTGATTTCTCCCTAACATGATAGAGAATTTTCTTTCTTTCTTTCTTTTTTTTTTTTAGTGCAGGTTTTTTTGTTTTGTTTTGTTTATTTATTTAATTGTGATTTGGGTGAAGATTTACAGAGCAAATTCACTTTCCATACAGCAGTTCACATACACTTTGTCTCATGACATTGACCACAGTTTACTCCAATGCAACAGCTCCCCTCCCACTTCCTCCCCATAGTTATCTCTTCCCAGTGTCCATCTCTCCATGCACTCCTGCCCCCTGAGCTGTCTCGCTATGCATATGCAGCCCTTCTTTCTCCCATGATCGTTCTCTCCAAGGAGTGTATCTACCTGAGGTAAATGTTCAACTCATATGCCTGTCTTTTGTTTGGCTGGAAACCACGGGTGTGGGTTCAATTACAGACCTGAAGGGCAGCTAGGGGCCATAGTCTCAGTGGTTCTGCCAGGCAATAGAGAATTTTCTTGTCCTGGGTTTAGAAGACCACTATTTTAGAATATAGATTCCATTAAATTTTTTTTTTTTTTTTACTTTAGAAACAAATTTTACAGATTCACCCTGTTAATCAGGTAGGCTGACTCTCCATAGCTATTCTGGGAGGAGATTAATTTACTAATCTGCAGCAGAAGCCATAACCCAGAATCCTCTTTCTTGGTGCTGGGGTTGCCACAGGTAACCATCTGGGACCAGGTGGTCCAGGATTTTAGTTTTCTGTCCAGAAAAATGAAAAGTGAAATAGACACATAAGTAAGTATCTTTCAAAAACTGATCTTAATTTCACATTTGTTTTATTACAATGTCTAATACTTAATCATCAGGAGCTCAGAATAGTTCATTTTACAGTTTTTCTTACATATTTAATGATCTATATTCAAATACCTGATAAGATGTTGTTTAAATGAATCCTGTGATTCTTTTGTTTTTCCCAAAAGGAATAATCCTTTTATAACAGAATTTCTTATACTCTGATTGATCTAGAGAGTGATTTTGGTTATGGTGTTTTCATTCCACCTATCCTTCTCTCCAGGGGAGCTCTGGTAGCGTAGTGCCTAAGGCACTTGACTGCTAACCAGAAGGCTGGCGGTTTAAACCCACCAGCCACTCCTTGGAAGGAAGATAGGGCAATCTACTTCTGTAGTGATACTGCCTTGGAAACCCAAGGAGGGGTTGCTGTGAGTCGGGTCCGACTCAATGGCACATAACAACAACATCCTTCTCCAGTATCCAGTGAACTGCCCAAATTGTTCCTAGGAAAATTGATCTCATTTTTGTAAAATAAATTTGTTAAGTAAGAAGTCAGAAAAAGAAAAAAATATGGGTACATAAATAAAGCTCTTAAATGAACTGTTATTTCACCTAGTCATTGTTAGACATAAAGTGACCAAATGCCTGATTTGCCTGGGATTTTGCTCACCCATAAAGGAGCATGGTAAGTGGCTGACAGCAAGTCAGCCAGGAAGACAGGAGTTCAGTTCAGGCTCTTAAGGGGCAAATTTCATGCTCTACTCTAGCAGAGTATGGAGGGAAAGGTGATTTGCCTGGGCCAGAGTCCTAAGGGACGCTGCTGCACCCATGGCACTACTTCACAGTAGTTTTCAACTCTGCACATTAAACTCACTAGAGAGTGTTAAGAAAAATGACAGACACTGGAACTCCACCCTAAATCAAATGAATCAAGATCTCTGGGGGTAGAGTTCAGGGATTGGTATTTCTTCAAGCTACTGCGGATTCTAATGTGCAGCCAATA